TCCTCAGGCACAATACCCTGCAGGACTCCTCCATCCTCGATAAGGCAGATTGGGTGAAATTAGCCGGCCATGAATAGACCACAGGTAAGTAAACAACAACAACGCATACGGGACTGGCAATCTACCCAAGGGAAGGACGAGTTGCAAGTATTTTACGGAAAAGATGTCCTGGAACAGGGCGACTCAGGTGGTAGACCTGGACTTGCGCTCCCTTAATGTCAATGGCCTCATTGGCCTGGCATCTGCGAACCTGCAGAAACGAAAGGCTATAATGGAACAAATAAGGGGGGTAGGGGGAAGACAGTGGCCTGACCTTATCTGCATACAAGAAACCCACCTTACAAACTCCCCAGAACATGTCAGAGCCCACAATTTAACCTGGCCACACCAAAGATTACAGCCCATGCCCCGAGGCCAGGGTCGGCAGGAGTGGTGATCTGGATCCCCCCTGACTCCCGGGCGGATGTTGTATACTCCGCAGCAGATGCGAGAGAGGGGAGATGGGTAGCTGTCCTTATCACGCTGGAAATATAAATAGTCTGCGTGGTTAGTGTCTACGGTTCGAATGAAGTGGACCAACGCAAGGCTTTTTTTGAACACATACGGTTCCAGTTGCCACATGGCATACCGACAATCATTGCAGGGGACTTCAACGCAGCCCCGGACCATAGCCTTGACAGGTGGAGGATCCCCACCCCATGTCCACGATACATAGAGGAGGACGAAGGAGTCATTCGCAAACTCTATGAAGAAGAGCATCTTTTTTACTCCTTCAGGCGACTACACCCACGTAGGAGGTTGTTCACCTGCATACGGAACAGTGGCACGCTAGCACAGTCCATGTCAAAAATAGATCTCATACTTATGGCGGAGGACTTGGATAGGGCGCTGCAAGCTGCAACTATCTTCCCGTTGAGCCCGTGGGCGGGTGCGGATCATAAAATGTGTGCAGTACTACTCAGGTTCCAAAAAAAACAGATCAAGGGCCAGGCTTTTATAAGCTCAATACATCCATCCTAAAACTGCGCCAATTCCGCTCCTATCCTAGAGACGTATGGGAGTATTGGCGTTCTACAAGGGACCAACATGCCTCAAATATTGCATGGTTCAACAAAGGGTTGGCCTTCATGGCCAGAAAATGCAACAAATTTTTGAAAATACATGCCAAAGAAAAATATTCGCAGGAAATTAGTATTCAAGAGGAAATCCGCAACCTTGAACAGGAAAGCAGTCTACCACTGCACCCTCACACACAAACGAAATTAGCAGAAATACAAAGACTTAAAAAGCAGCTCTTAGAATTTGCCCGCCAGAGATGGCAGGGCGCCATCATCAGAGTTAAGCTAACTAGGCATATCATGGAAGGTCAAATGGACGCATAATTTTTTGGCCTCGCGCAGACAAGAGCTAGAAGATCCACTATATGTAAAGCGCAAGAGGTCACCTCTTACTCCTCGGCCCACGAGATGAAAGTGGCCAGGGATTTTACAAGGAACTCATCTCATCATCCTTTGCTGAGGAATCAGAGCAAAGCAGAGAAAGCAGAGAACACAATATGGAGGCATTCCTTACCCCTCTCTCCCAAAGAATCACGCATGAACAACGTGAGGCTCTGAACCAACCACTACGGAAAGAAAAAATTTGGAACACGCTGATGCAGATGGAGGAAGACAAAACCCCAGGAGTAGACGGGCTACCCAAGGAATTCTGGGAGGAGATGTGGACCCCCGTATCGGAGGACTTGATGGAACTTTACAGGCAAGTAAAGGCCTCAGGAGACATGGGGGATGTGGTAGGCCAAGGAATCCTCACCCTGCTATATAAAAAAGGAGACAAAACGAACATAAGAAACTACCACCCGATCACCCTCCTCACGGTGGTTTACAAGATGATGGCTAAGGCGGTGGCAAACAGGATGATACCAGTCTTGGAGGAGATAATCCACCCTGCACAAACCGGATTTATGCGCAATAGGAACATCCAAGACAATGTACTACTGGTTAATGAATTAATAAAGTTATCGAGACAGTCGCATCAAAACGCCGCCATAGTGTTCATTGATTTTGAAAAAGCCTATGACCATGTAGACTGGGAATTTATGGACAAATGCTTGCAGAAAATGAACTTTGGCCCGGAATTCAGGGACTGGATTAAGATACTCCACCTAAATGCGACGACACGGGTACATGTCAATGGGTTACTAGTGCCAGAAATCAAACTCCAGCGCTCGGTGCGACAAGGTGACCCACTAGCCCCCTTCCTATTTTTGGTGGTAATGGAAGCACTGGCAACCAACTTGAGGACTAATAGAAAGATCTCTAGACTGCAATTGTCAGGCATCCCTGAGGAAGCCATCCCTATATATTCGATGTTCGCGGACGACCTTACAATAGTAGTCGAGGCAACCCAAAATAATATGGCAGAAATCCAAGCCCTGATGGCACAATTTTCCTTGGTGTCTGACATGACAGTTAACTGGGGAAGCAAAACGCAAGGCTGGTGGATCCACTTCCATGGTGTTCGCCCCCCAGAGCAACCCAAAGTTGATTGGAGACCTCTGGAAGAACAAATCAGGGTCCTAGGGGTAGCCCTTTCAGCTCACGGGCCACCAACAGGAAATGACGAATGGATTACTAGGCCAGCCCTGGAAAAAATGCAAAACTGGAAGAACAAAAGGACTTCCATTTTTGGGAGGGCTTTAATTATCAACAATGTGGTGCTGGCCTCCATTTGGTACGAATCAGCTCTCTGGCACCTAGGGAAAGGTAGCATCAAGAACCTTAAGAAGCAACTGGCGGCATTCCTCTGGCGAGGGAATCATGAGCAACAAAATGTGATTAATAGGGTAGCATGGGATAAACTGATTCAACCAAAAACCAGGGGAGGACTAGGCTTGCTGGGGTTAATCCCCCATGGCGAGACCTGGCATTGGAACAAATCCGGAGATTGTCACCCAGAACTGCATTTGCAGTGAACCCGCTCACATGGATTGAGGATAGGTATTGGACCATCCCCCGAGCCAACACCAACCCACGAGAGGAGGGGGAGAGAGGAGCCGCCAGGCAGGATCTAGTAAAAGATAAATTTTGGAGCACCCTAGCTGAGAGGAGCAACCAGGGGCAGAATAGGTGCAAAACGGCCACATTAAAAAGCTTAGCTACAATAGGCTAACTTAGGTAGGGGTGAGGGGTGGTACCTCCTTCTTGAAGGAAGCAATCAATGCCGCCCACCCGGGCCTCTCAACCTTAATGGGGAGGAGTGTGCTGTGAGTCAACTTTGTACTATTCAATGACTTGCCGGGGGAATAGGAACCGGACTGTTGCTCCCCAGAATGGCAGGAGTCAGAACCAAGAGGTTCTGAAGTTAAAAAAAAATAAAAAAAAAAATAAAAAAAAATAAAAAAAAAAAATTTGGAGGAGGCTACCCATCCCCGATAGGCCTCCCCCGGAACGGATGGAGGAGATCCTTCGGCAGCCCCTCTTTGGGAATAGGGCAATCACGGATAGACAAGGTAGGGTATACGGCAGCTCAAATCCTCATTGGGCCTCATGGGTCAGACATGGGATCCTCAGAGTAGGGGACATATGGGATGAAGGAAGCAAAGATTGGAAAACGGCCCAACAACTCAGGTCCCGCCTGTGCTACACTCACAAGCTAGAGGACACTCTGGATCAGCTAATATTTTCGATTCCCCGAGCATGGAGGGTAACTTTGAGAAAAGGAAGATCATTATAGGAACAAGACTGGGTGGCGGTAAGGGTAGAGGACTTCCCATTGCAAATAGGGGTAGTGGTAGAGGCAAGACCGGACGGGGCAATGGCTAACCTTTTCGAAAGAATAGGAGACGATAACCTGGTCAGTTATCACCCAGTCGCAGTCCAATGGCATGGAAATTCCAACCTCTACTGAATCCGGGTGCTGCAGAGCCATAAGGAAGGGAAGACCCAATGGCGAGCTCATCGACTAGAAACCCCCTATCCAGGCTAGCCATGGACCCTCTAGAATGGCAATGGATAAGAGGACGAAAAGGGCAACCAGTGCAACTGCATGAACTAACAGTTAAAACCACCTACATAATGATCAGACCCCGGGTGGATGTGCAAACAGAGGTAGGTGATAGATGGCAGAAAAGCCTCAACCTAAATAGAGACCGATTGGCTGGAATGGTTCAGAGGGGTGAAGGAGAGACCAGCAAAATTCGCCTCCCTACAATGGCAAATAAGTCACAGATGCCTCCCCACAAATAATTGGATCATCGACAGGACGAACTTGGAACAAAGGGGGGAGGCTCTCCCATGGTGCAAACTCTGTAACGTAGGGTTCCCGGGGCGTATAATATGTGAAACAATAGAACACATTTTCTTGCAATGCCCTGGGGGTGTCCTGCTGTGGCGATGGTGGGATCGTATCTGATCACAATTATGCACCGATGAGGAGTGGCCATGGAAATGGGAAGCTTGTCTTTTAGGAGAGGTTGGAAAGCCACACACATCCAACCTAACTAGTAATCTCTTCTCCATAGCCAGGAAGGCGATGATCTGGACGTTATGGTTAAGAAGGTGCATCTTTGATCAAGAAGGGGCCAGAATGGGGGAAGGGGAAGTGGCAGACACAGTAAAACATTCATCGAAACAGAAATGAGAATGCATTGGAAAAAAGTGCAGGAAAAAATGGAAATCCTCACGCAAAAGCCAGATATAATTAAGGAAATCCAGAAATTCTACGCAGAATGGCTGGGGGGGGGAAAGGGGGGGTAGGATGGCCCAGGTAGACTGGCCTGGGGAAAAGAGGGATGAGGAGGGACAAGGGGACTTTACAAAGGACTACAAACTAAGATTCCATGATTGGCTCCAGCTCGACCCCAACATCCCTATGAAGAGCCCTGAGCAGTTCCCAGACATGTTCCCTCTGCCAGCCACAGCAATTGTAGAAAGACAATGGTTTGGGCATCTGTAAGGCGGTGGTATGCTGGTAGAGGGTTAGATAAGTGCTGACGGCATGCTACTTTCGGGCATCTGTAAGGTGGTGGTACGCTGGTAGAGGGTAAGATAAGTGCTGGCGGCATACTGGTAGGGGGTAAGATAAGTGTCAGTCTATTTTCATTCTGTAAGCTTTGCTGTAATGGGATTCTGGAAGCAATGAGAAATAGTCCGGAGGGGGGAGGGAGGAACTATTTTGTAGCAGTTGACATCAGGTGCCTGGTACAGGGTGAAGAGGTTCTCTCCCTTGCCAAATATCCTGCTCAGTCAATCCTCTGAACGTCAGATTAATCAATGCTGGCAGGTACATCCCCCAGGCAGTTCCAGATACACTCATGATACACTCCACAGCAATTGTAAATGGGACGCAGGTGCCGCTCCCCACCAATAGATGGAGCCTCTCCCCAGGTGTTAGTGGTGCCTGCTTATACCAGCATCACTAACACTGGAGGGGGTGTTTAAAAAAAAATTAAAAAAATCAACTGTGTGTCGCAGTCCGTGTTTGGTCGGGTCATCAGAGAGAGAGAGAGAGAGAGAGAGAGAGAGAGAGAGAGAGAGAGAGAGAGAGAGAGAGAGAGAGAGAGAGAGATTTACGACTTCGGGATGTTGACGACATTTGGATACAGACTCAACATTGGGACACATACATTGATGGGAGACTATTTGGGATCGATATCAACGACATTGGTGTTGACGACATTCTCATCTTCTCCCTCCTTTTCATCTGATCCCCTCCTCTTCGTCTGTGTATGATCTGGGCCTGGCGCATTCTTCCTGTGTGTAGCGCCAGGCCCTTTCACACCTAGCGATGATGATGATGATGTATGTTTGGTCTGCATTGCGACATTGATTGGTCTGATCATTGGTATTTTAGCCTTCCACTGCGCTATCCTGTACTATGTGAGAGAGGTTGGTTCTTGTTCTGGTCTGCACCATTACAGTATGCGACACTATGGCTGCGGACAGACTCTCTCCTCCAGCTGCCCAAACTGAATAAATTGTACTCCTACCTCGTCACTTTTACTGTGCCAAATTTGCCTGGCCCTACACGGTCCAACCACGCTCTAGCCTAGGGAGTTCCAGATGTCTAGGTCCTACAGGCTTCTATGTGTCCAAGTGCAGCTAACAGCATTCCCGCTTGGAGGGCCCAGGTCCGTATTGGACTGGCAGCAAACTCGAAAACATCTAAATATGAACAACTGATACTAACTGCTCAAGTGCAAAGGAAAATGGAGGGAGATCCTGAATCTAGACCCCACGGACCCCATTTCCATCCCTTGGACGAAGTACCTGTCTATTAGACCAGTTAGGATCCGAAGCATGCAGTGGCTCGTAGCTCATGGATCTCTGCCTGTCAATCAATGGCTCCACAAAAGGAGGAAATATACGGACCCTGACAGCTCTGAATTATGCAGATTGTGCACAGACAACATCCTGGAAGATATACCCCACTGCCTCCTGTATTGCACTGAAGCAGCATGGATATGGAACAAGGTGCATGACCTATGGTCCCTCCTCTCCTCATCACCCCCTTCGTCCACAACCCCTCTGAACATCCTGCTCCTATCCAACAATACTAACAATCTCAAAGGTGGCAGGGAAGTCTGGTTTCACCTGCTCAGGAACCTGGCTCTATGGGTAATCTGGAAAAGGAGGTGTACCAAGACTATCGAGGGTACCGAGGTGGCAAGGAAAGAAATGTGGGTTCTACTGCTGGGAATGGCGGAAACTGAGATTCGATCCAGATGGAGGGAGGTGACATCAACAACAAAAGTCAGACCAGAAAGGCTAACCACCAAGAGACGGTCTTTCGTGAGAAACTGGCTTCTACAGGGAAAGATTGCAACTGTGGCAGATAACAGATTGATTTGGAAGAAATGGCACAGCGCAACTCCGGCAAGGACGATGACGCAGTTATGGGCAAACTGAGATTACAATCTCAACAATATAGACAACTCTCCTCTTTTCTTGCTTTACACGGACCATCTGACAGAGTCGCATTAGATTCTGAGAGGAAAAGTGGTAGGGCAAGCTGGCAGTCAATCCTCCTGCTCTGGAGCAATCAATGCTGGTCGGGGTGCCTTCGACCAGACGGAAGGAAGCGCGAGAGTGTTCACCATGTATTTCAATTCTTGACTTGCCGATGGAAAGGAACCGGACTGACGCTCCCCAGAATGGATACGGAGCCAGGATCACAAGGACCTGTTTCAAAAAAAAAAAAAAAAAAAAAAAGATACTTACTGCTCACTTGCAACAGGTCTGGGGTTCAGATCCTGCTGGTGCCCACCAGTGTGACGCAACAGCTCAGTCACCAATGCCATGGTTCGATTGTTAGTGAAATGCATGCATGGATGTGAGATGCTGAGAAACTTGAGCTCCCACGTACCCTCTCAAATGAATCCCATCCGCACGATTGGCTATATGCCAACTATATGGCATTGAGGCTCACATCCGTTTATCACATCTTTTGTGTTTGTGTATGCAATTCTTTTTCAGGTGGTTCGGTGGGGAAGGTCCGTTTATGCCAACATTCAGAAGTTCATCCAGTTTCAACTTACTGTCAATGTGGTGGCTCTGACTCTCAACTTTATTGCAGCTTTAGGGGGAACGGAAATTCCCCTCACCACTGTGCAGGTAACCTCACGTATACCCTTCATGTTCTCTCAAGTAAAAGACCGGAAAGACGAAGTACACTGCTGTTATTCCGTTGCACACATAGGCCACCAGCCCTGTTCAGGTCTGTATGGTCATATTATCTGGTTTGCACAGGTGGCTCCCCCGTTGCTTGAGTTCTCGTTTTTTTTTGGATTTTGGTTCGGGACATCATTAAAATTGCAATGAGTGTACAGCAAAGATTAGCATGGCCCCTGCACAAAAAAAAAAAAAGGGCAAAAAAAAACGAAAGAGCTTATGGTCTCAGCCTCCATTCTATTCTGGCGAGTTTGTTAGTCCGATTCCAATTTCACTGGCAAGTCACGAGCTTACATTGAGACCCAGTCAAATGCTTCCCCTCCTTATGGCCAGGAGAATCCCCCACACCATTCATTGCCTCCTTACAGAGGGGTTGACTGTCGGTCTTGCTGAAGCAGTCGCTCATCCCTTCCCAGCCTGTCTTTCTACCCCTGGGGAAACACCCCTGAAAACCAAAGCTCAACTCATTCCTGTCGGTCCGTGGATGTGGATTACCAGACCTGTGTTGAAAATGAGCGAGAACCTGAGCTATTTGTCCTTGCCGTCACCAAACCCTTCATTTATTTATCGAAACAGAAGTGAAAGTTTCACGAGTTACATCATCCCGCCAAGTCCCTTGTACGCTTATGCAAGGAAAATGATCAGTAGCGAGATGACAGAATCCAGATTACACGGTCATATTGAAAGCCAGAAAGTCTCACAGTGTCCAGAAAGCAGTATTGCACCAATGTTGGACCAATGGAGAATCGAAACACTGAAACCAAATGTCAATGAGAGCTTACTCTCGTCATCACCAACATCAGAGTCCAGGCCCTTACCCGTACTTGGCGCTCGGCGCCCAGACTACTCCCCACACAGCTACTATCTGCTTATGAATTGGCAATTCAACTGTTGACGTCAGCAGCCACCGAAGTACATGAAGATGTCGCCCAATGCAGACCATCGCCAATACCAGGTATGAGCCCTCACATCATCATCATCATCTCTGTCTCTCTCTCTCTCCCTCGTCTTTCTCCCTTGTCTTCCCTCTATACACCCGAAGACCATCACTGCACCCTGCTGTATGTCCAAGCCCAGCCAGCTATGGAAGCTGGGCTATGGCGTTGCCCTCATCTGCACCCTTCTTCCTACACGACTGCACGTGCGTAGCACCTTGCCCCAGCGCTAGCAGCAGCACGCGAGCAATCGCTCCAGCAGCGCTGCCGCAAACTGGCAAGTGCCCGAATGAGATGCCAGGCAGCGAACTCGTTCCTATATGGAAAGATTCTGACCTGGCCTGTGGCCTGGCTGGGCTGGGCCTGCGCCCAGAAGCTTCCAGTGGGCCGCGACCTCTTACGGGCCCATCAACAAGGTAGCTGGGCCTCTGCTGCTGCTGCTGGGCCTCGTTCAGTTACGCCTCCCAACTGTCAGTGTATGTTGCTGCGAATGTGGCCCAGGGCCTGTATTTCAGAAAAGGCCTAGAAGGTCGTGGAAAGTATTTGCTGCTCGGGTCCTGGGTTCCCTCAACCAACTGACGCGACACAACTGCCTGAACCCCAAATACGAAATTGACAGCATTCGGCCTCTCGTGATTTCTTAGGTCCGCCTTCACTTAGGGAGGGCGCACTTGCATATGGTATATCGGACTGTGACATCGATCGCCCCTCAGCGATCCAGGTAACACTAGGATGTCAGTGTATGGTATTGCCGTCTCCAAAGCCACACTCATAGACATGATGGGCTGTTTGAGTTGTTGCAGCATGCTAATCTTCGAACAGAGGCGGTTCTGACAGTTGCCGTTATCTCCAGGGCCCTGCACCATCGTCTCGTCTTCCAGTCATGGACATCGAGTGACCAAACAAGAAAGATCTCAGTTGCTGTCAGGGATCTACTTAGCAAGGAAATGGGCAATCTGCCGTAGGTCGTGTCTCTTCTTCCTCCGCGGAATACAGAGCAGTCCGCCAAAGTGACCCGTCACTGCTTATCCTCAATGATCATCCAAGTTCCGATAAACATCCCAAAACAAACCTCGAATGGTCAGTGTCTACCCTGTCAACAATGGTTGTGGCCTGTCCTGCCAAAGTGTGGGTCCTTAGGGTCTCTTCCTTAACTTGAGAAATGCCCTTCTGGGATTCATACACCTCAGACAAAGGACTTGAAGACAAGCCTTGGACGGTTGCCGCTCGCTTTCACCCTCTGCCCCTTCTCTGAGCTGGGATTGTGGTTGGTTTTGCTCCATCGCAAACGTACAGAACACCTCCTTGCCATCTAATGGTTACGCCTTGTGTTGCCCTTGTGCTTTGCATGAGTCTGGTCTTTTCATAGTGTCCTGCATTATCTCATTTCTGATATTGTAGCTCAGCATCTCATTAGTCTGCAGACGAAAACCGGAAACAAAACATTTACTTCTTCCTTAACCTAAGTCACACTTCAGGTTGCATAACACCCCTATTGAGAAGGACTCGGCAGTGGCTGACTTTTAAGTGGGGTCAGCTGCAGGCGATCAGACAAAATACCCAACTCTGAGTCAGTCACTGTTGGTAGGAGGGGATGCAGTCTTTCATGTTTTATTGAGACACCCTTGCTATGAGTTGCGCAAGCCGATCCTGGTTTGGGAAGTAGACACAAATCATTGCTTTTTCTTGGCATCGACCAAAATCCAAAAACCCTTCCTGATAGCCTGCCAGTTCCATTCTTGCTGCACGCAGTCCAGTTTGTGCCCGCTTGTCGAGAGCAAACACAAGCCTGTGGGAACGGTGGGGGGCACAATAAAAATGGCACTGTTGGCGGGGCTAAAAAGTTTAAACCACCAGTACTTCCTAGATTCGTGCCTGTTAACGCGCCACAATTTTAGGAAACGTACGGGCTACTACAGGACCGGCCAAATTCGTCCGACTAGAAACGTTTCTGACTTACTACTCTATTTTTTTCCGCGGCCGATAGCTGGGCCAAGTACTGGTGGTTTAAGGTCCTTGAACAAGCCCTGGTGGCATCATAAATGACATTATGGCAGTATAGTGGCCATGGACTTCACTTTGTCAAATGACCTGAAAAGCCATGATTCAGGTTAGAGAGGCACTCCCCCAGAATGGAAATGGATCCGGGGCCATAAGGACCTGTTTTACTTTTAAAAAAAAAGGAAAAAGAAAAGCGTAACATTACACGTAACAATTTGAAATTATCTTCTTTAATACCGGCCAATATTGGCAGCTGTGTACATTTTGTTGGTGAAGTTTCTTGGGAGAAAGTGATTATGATATGAGACCGCATGTGTCATCAATGAAGAGGCAAAGGTGGAGTCATGAGCCCTGTGCAGGAAAATGAGATATAGCGAAATGACAGAAATCCAGAGTGCAAAATCACATTGAAAGCCAGCAAGTCCAAACGCTGTCCAGAAAGCAGTAATGCACTGATATTCCACCTCCGGAGAAACAAAGCACTGAATCCGAATGTCAATGAGAGCATACTCTCGCTACCGCCAACATATGTATCCAGAGTCCTTCCTCCTACTTGGCGCTCAGCGCCCAGACTACTTCTACACAGCTACTAGCAGCCTACAACTTGACAATGCATCCTGTTGACGTCAGCAGCAGTACTGAAGTATATGAAAATGTCGACCCTTGTAGACCATTGCCAAGACCAGGTACGTGCCCTCACATCATCAATCTCATCTCTCTCTCTCAACGTTGACTTCATCACTGCCGTCTTCTCCGTCATACACGAAGACCACCACCACCTCCATTGGCTATGTCCAAGCCGAGCCCCGGCTACGTCGGGCTGGCTATGGCGCTGCCCTCAGCAGCTCCCTGCCTTCTCGCACGACCGCACGTGCGCACACACCTGCCCACGCCCTAGCGCAGCAGCAGCCCCGCGAGCGCTAGCTCCAACAGCGCTGCCGCATGTGCTTGCAAGTGCCCGACTACCCAGCCCTGCGCCCTGCCCTTTCCTGTATGGAAAGAGGCGGGCACTTGCCTTTGCTACCCCACGTGAGACCGAGTTTCCAGTAGATTCAGTCTCCGCCAAGGTGTCTGTGCCCAGGCCCAATTCAGACAGTGGCCTGGGACCGAAGTGGTTAGGCATGCCCAACCACCCAGCCACAAACGTGTGATGCTCCCTGCTTCGACCACTTTGCTGGAAGAGCTTGGAAGGCTCAGAAATGTTTTGGATTCTCACGAGCAAGGCGGGTTGTAACCAACTGGCGCGTGGCAATTGTCTGGCGCCGACCAAGATTTGCAAGAATTGACAAGTTCAGGGCGCATTGAGGTTCAGGGACCCCACCTTCACTTAGGGCAGGCACGCGCCTGCTGCAGGGCCCTATGTTGAGGCATAAGCCCTCGCACTCCCTCCTCCTTTGCTTCGATAATCCTCTGAGTAGTTACACAGCAGGCTGCTTCCGTTTCAAGTTTCGTTCATAGCTTGATATATATAATTTGGGGAGCAGTCTTCATCTTCATTACGATCCGTATGGTGTCTTAACTGCACTCGGTACTGCATCTGCGGTTTCAGATGGCGTCGCCTGCCTGGAGGCTTGGGCACAGGCATTAGCTTGTGCTCAACAATGCCGTCGATGTCCACGTGTCCATCCATGGTTGGAGGCAGCATATATCCTCTTTACGGAAACTGCTCAGTTTCAGCAAAGGGTGTCAATTTGGATGCATGGAAAACAGGGTGTGTACGGAGGTGACCAGGAATGTGAATCACATATGATGGGCCATCGGGTTGATCTCCTACTATGTCCAGAATCTCCCACGACCCAAAGTACTGTGGCATCAGTTTTCGTGAAATTCCCAACTCTTGGCCCAATTCAGATGATTTTACCCAGACTCGTTCACCTACCTGAAATGCAGACGGTCGTCTGTGTTTGTTCTCAGATGTCACCATGGCATCTTGTGTTTTCTGAATATGCTCTACGACCTGCTGCAGCATCTGTTCGTACTTCACAGCAAACTCTAAGCTTCCAGGTG